TTATCAGGTCAGGATTCTTTTCTTCTGCAAAGCATGCTCTTTTTTACAAAAGAAATCACCTTTGCCTGAGCAGTGGAGATTACAGTGAGGGTCCCTCGCGATGTTTAAAGAAAAAAAAAATCTTCATACTCAAAGTCCCCTGTTAGAAGTGTAAATAATGGTGTGTTTCTGAGTAAAGAGCGTCCTCTGGGGCACCCTGGTAAACTCCAGCCTCTGGAGTGGAATTAGCAGATGCAGTAACACCCGCCCCCCGCCCCCTGCCAAGTTCATGTTTTCTTAAGCCGCGTCCGTGAAGCTGCACCCAGAAGCGTTGGAGTTGCAGTGCTTCCCTGGCTACTCCTCGGTGCAGCCTGAGATCGCGTGCGTGTATGTGCAGATGGCTTTTCCCCACCACCCCTCCCCAGGCTTTTTCGCTTCAGCTGAAGAATTATTTATTGGTAAATAAGTCAGGGATGTACTCTGGTTTGTTTCTTCGTGGGTCCTCAAACTCTCAAGTTAATTTCCTTTCCAGCTTAATAGCTAATACTTAGATAAAAGCTCTTCTCTCTCTGCCATGATATAGGTAATATTTATCTGTTGAAGTCTGCCTCCTTATTTGATGATTCATTGCTTTTCCAGGATATAAATTACTTGCTTTAAAAAAGTCGGGTTTTTTAATAATTAACCGCGTATTTGGGGTATAAAGGCTTTGAACTGTTCATCACTTTTGCTTTTAAAGAGTGTAGCAAAACCGCACATGATAATGTCCTCAGCGTGACATGGAGAACTTGGGGCCTTGATGCCATATGGATGAATTAGATGGTTTCTCACATCCTCCCCGTGATGCGGGAAGGAGCAAGGGATAACCAGCAAAGTTACCGGCAGCTCTCAGGCGTCAGACAGAGTCTGTTAGTCATGCAGGTGCCTTTTAGGCACATTTGCTGTTCTTTGCAGCTGTAGAAGAGGCAGGGGAGGCCGCTGTTTGCCTCAGCAAGTAGGGCGAGATGCGGCACTTTAACGAGGAGGTTGTGTCTGTCTCCCAGACGAGGCACTTCGAGAGCCCCTACCTGGTGTATCACGAGAAAATCAAGACCAGCCGTGTGTTCATTCGGGACTGCAGCATGGTGTCGGTGTACCCGCTGGTCCTGCTTGGAGGTGGGCAAGTTCACATGCAGCTGCAGAAGGGAGAATTCGTCATCTCGCTTGATGATGGGTGGATACGCTTTGTGGCCGCCTCTCACCAGGTAAGAAAAAAGGAGGGATAATCCCGGGCGCGCTGCAGAGCTGCGCTTAACTTTAGAATGCAGGAGATGATACCTTACGCGGGCCTCTGTTTTACTGTGCACGGTAGGTGGCTGAGCTGGTGAAAGAGCTGCGCTGCGAACTCGACCAGCTGCTGCAGGATAAAATCAGGAATCCCAGCATGGATCTATGCGTGTGCCCCCGCGGCTCTCGGATCATTGGGATGATTGTAAAGCTTGTGACCACGCAGTAATGTTGAGAACAACTTTCTATAAAGACTCACTACCCGAGAACAGCACAAGCAACATCAGTATCTTGATGTATTTGTTGTCCAAAACATGGCACTGATGTCTGGAAGACCAAGTTGGCAACTGTACTATGGATGGGGGGTTTTTTTGCCTGTTGGGTTTTTTTTTTTTTCCCCTTTGTTTGCAGAGAGCTTGCTTGTTGGAAGGTGGCTTACAGTACATTCCGGGAAATGGGAAAATGGCAAATCTCCCAGGAGGAACAGAAACCTCCAAGTAAAAATACAAAGTTTTGGGGTTTTTTTCATGAGGCTATACACTGGCAATAGTGTTTTCTGGTCACAAAACTACCTGCTAACTGGCTGTTAGTAATGTCTGGACGCAGCATGTGACATCACAGGCTGCTCCCAAATTGGTTTAAACGCACGTCTACATTTTGGCCAGGACTTCACAGGGGTAGTCAGTTTTGGCCGACCAGGCATTGCTTTGCTCACCATTCAACCCAAAAGCCCTTAAAAACATGAGCGCATTTTGATAGGCATCAGGGGGGTTCCGAGATGGATTTAGAGCGTGTCCTCCAGTGAGGAGCCTGTGCCAGATCACTTGGAGTCCCTCGTTGGCTTGGTGCAGGCTGTTCTGGTTACAGCAGGAAACTGCAGGAGAGTGTAGCTGTTTCCCCTGAAAGCCAGGATTTTCCAGCACACCCCGCGCCACAAACACAGAGTGGAAAAAAAAAAAAAAAGTAAAAGAGAGGAGCGGGACAGCTGCGGTATGCCAAAAATGGATGCTGGGCTGGATGGCAGTGCTCATGGTTAACCCCCTTCCACCCCTACCCAGGTGGCAGTCCTGCTGCCACTGGGCCCAGGGGGAAAGGAATCCCACTTTTGCAAACTTTTAGCCACACTCCTGCTCTGGGGAGCAGAGTGCTGCAGAAGAGCACGGTGAAACGCCACAGTGATAACAAACTCTTTCTTCTTCCCTTCGCCGCGGCGCAATGGCAATGCTGAGCCGCTTGATGCGCCAGCAGTCGCACATAACAGCACGTGCCTTATGTGAAATAGGTTTGCTCTCACCTGCAGTAGCAAAACCAGAGTAACCGCTGTTACCGGCGTTGTGTCTGCGTGTGGCCCACAGCCATGTGGGTGAACAAATACACCAGTTCAGGGTGGCTGTGGTGTGAAAGAGCAACAGATTCCGTGTTGTCACCTCAGCATTCCATGCACTTTCAAAGCGGCATCCTCTTGAATAAATGGAAACGAG